ATTACCCTTGAATCGTGACCCCGTGACACGTGATCACCGCAGTAACGTCAAAACACCCTACTCTCGGACCAAGTCAATCCACGCCTCGATCGAAGCCTACCAATTAGGGTGTAAAGAAAGAATTTAATAGAATTAGTAGCCTTTGTGTTAGTTTTAGAGTACTAGTGGCCCCTATTAGCTTAAGTTTTCGTTTTTATACCAATTTACACTGTCACAACGTGCAGATCATCCATTATGCCGCTTACACTATATCGATATTTGTAATTATACTAATGATTGATACCCTATGTATATTTTAAATATATCCTTTTTAGTACCACCATTCCTGGTTTTGCGCAACTACCGACTACGTTGAGTAACTACCTTATTGGTTTCAAGTTACTCGATTAAACTTGGAGCAGCACTAAATTGAAAATTTTCAAGTATTTGAGTGTATGTTTATTTTTGATTTTTATGTTATGCCTGATCTTGAAATTTGATTTGACGTTCAGCCGTTTAACTCTTTATTGAAATTTGACATTAAAAATAATTCTATGCATAAAGTAAAATAAAAATATCTAAAATGAGAAATACATTAATGTGATTACATATGATATTGTGATATGAGAGGTGACTATATAGGACTATAACAAACGAGCTGGTAAATCTTATGAAATATTAAATAACGAAAAAAAGTTTAGTAATTGATTATTAAAAAAAAGTCAGTAAACTTCTAAATAGTTTATCCAAGTATTTTTTTGTTTTTTACAAAAAAGAATTATTTAATTAATTATTAATTAATGATTATTCATTTGAACATAATGCTTTCCAATCGTCATGTGGACTTAATTGCCTAATTTGGTCCGGTTGTGCAACGAATTGCGCAACTAATCCAGATTCGACATGCCACTGTGAATATATACATATACTTTAGAGTCAAATAAACAGAGAAATAATGAAAATTTGGAATGGTAAAGATAATGAAATTACCTCAATATGACAGTGGAATCCCCATACACCAGGGTTATTTGATACAAATCGGAGAATGGCCCATCTAATGACAAAATAAATTATTAAAATTTTATAATGTTAAAATTTATAGATTATAAATAAATGCTACAAATAAAAGCTAAAGGAAGAAGCAAGAAATTAACGCACCCGCCAACAGGAACAGTCGTTGTATCACGTTGTATTAAATTGTTATTATTGTTAAAGGCTGCAAAATCTGGAAGAGTGCCATTTTTACCAGTAAGTATCCAGAATACATGACCATGCTAATTAAAAAATTAAATTATTTTAATTGGCACATTAATTACTTGTTAATTACTTATTAATTATTAATCATTAATTATTAATTAGTTAATAATTAATTAATTACAGTATTAAGAATACTTACCAAGTGAAATGGATGTTCACCAGCGTCCCCGTCTAATTAATTAATCAAAAATATAACTCGATTAATAACCAAGATAAAAAAAAAAAAGAAGCCAATTTTGATAATTGATTAAAGTTAATTATTCATACTTATTAAAATGATATCTATAACTTTAGTTTGATTAATTAAGTAAACGTTTTGACTAGGGGCAAAGTTCGTTTCACCATCAAAAATTTTATTAAGAATAGGATTTTTTGTATCTATCACATAAGTTGAATTGTTTATAAAACCCATTGTGACATTATTTTCATCGGGACGGAAAGTAACGATTAATTTTATTTTATCATCAGCCTCAGGAATTTGTTGTGGATAGTAAGATTGTAGTTGATTAGGATCCAAATCTGTACAATTTTGAACAATGTCACTCCAAGCAGATGATGATGGAGTTTGACTTTTACATCCTTCATACTCAACAATGGCCTTTACTATAGAATTGAGAGTGGGTGAAACGACGGCTAAACAAGAAGTTTCCATTTCTGCCCGCATAAAATACGAATCTATCGGCTGATTGGCGTTCACAATGACTGAATAACGTTGACCAATATTAATAGGAAGGCGATGAACTTTTTGACGTTTAGTAATCATCCCTTCAACTTCAATTACTTCTAATTCATGGTTATCGATCGAGAAAATAAAATGAGCAAACGCACTAATTACATGTAAATTAATTAATAAATTAATTAATTATGGAATTACTATGATAAAAAAAAAAAAAAGAAACTTACGAAGTATTAATAACTCGAATTCTGTATTTTTTTCCTTGAACAAATTTAAATTGTTCCAACGGAGCATTACTATCACAAAGACTATCTGGTGAAGCTGACGAACAATTAAAAGAATTCTTTCCGTTAATCAATCCATTATCAGGAGATGGTTCCTTTCCTTGACTCTCAGGAGTTAAGAATTGTTTTATTAAAATTCTAGAATCGTCATGATACCAGTCTTGTAATAACACGACAATTTCTTCATCATAGTCTTTAATATAAGGATCTTCGGGATCATGAATTACAATAGCACCAGCAGCTCCTTCGATATATTGGGCCCTATCATGCGAATGGCTATTTGTTTTTTTTTAAAAAAAATCTTTAAAAATCACTTATAATTAATTTGATAAACTATTTAAGAAAAGATTACTTACTACCAGTAAGTTCCACTTTGACAAACTTGAAATTTGTAGGTGAATGTTTGACCTGGTGGAATTCTGCACTGAGATGCTCCAGGGACACCATCATACCAAGGAGTCCCGCGTTGGAATATTCCATGAGAATGAAGTGTAGTAGTTTCATCCAAAACATTTTTAACATTCAACACTAGTACGTCACCTTTATTGCAACTAATGGTAGGACCGGGAAATGTGCCATTTATGAGAAACATATCTCGTCCAAAACCATCAGGAGCAAAAAATCCTTTACTGATTATAAGATCATAAACTCTTTCTTCGCCTTGCGGACAGTTAACATTATTAGATATACTACTCGATGGGACTGGTGAAGCATTCGTAAAGGACAAAAGGAAAAATAAATAAGGTAAAATATAGACCAACGTCAGTAAGGAAAGCATTTTGAATCAAGAAACTGAAGACAACTAACTGTCTGGCAAATTGCTTATATACGATAAAATAGCATATAACTTACCGTCGGTAATAGATCTCCCGTCACAAAATATTAATTATGAAATTACCTTTAAGATAACAAATAGGAAAATCCACATATTAAATTTATTTATTTACAATCAGTTGGTTGAAATTAACCAACAGCAAAAAAGTATTTTCGAAGATGCATGCGATAAGGGGTTTCAAATTAACAAATTGATGACATATTTCTAAAATAAGTAGGATTTTTCGATAGTATGTACTGTACATACCTGGTCCTATTATTAATAACATTATTTTAATAATGAAAACGATAACAAGGGTAATTAACAATATAGTTACATAAAATATTTTAGACTTTAATGTTTATACGTAGATTTAACGTTAACTGCATACATCGTACGTGCGTACACACGCAATAAGAACAATACTGTATTATAAAAAAAAACGCAAGTTGTATACATATTAGGAAGTTTATTTAATATGTTTATGCATACGTACGCATATAAGCATTGTACGCGTATCCATACTATCTAGTCCATAATAATAATGATAAATGAAATTTAGCGTTAGATCCACAAATTTTTTTCCTTAATGGTTACTCTACATTATGATTATAGTTACCTCTACATTGTGATTATAGTTATCTTTACATTATTAAAATAATGTTATTAATAATAGGACCAGGTATGTACAGTACATACTATCGAAAAATCCTACA